AGAAGGACATCTTGTCCTGTTTTCTGCTGTTCTTTGCTTGCCTTGGCTGCCTCATCTACCAGGAGTTCACTTGACCATTCTTAATTTACACCTTCAACAATCCTGAGGCACACCGCTTCTCTATTCTGCTGAGTTGAGAAAGATGTCACTTGCCAAGGTATGCCTGCAGAAGTAGGAACTGAACAAGCTCAGCTCCAAGACTCCAGGGAGCCTCTGCAGCATGGCCTCTTGGGGCTGGTAGCTGCATTGTTTAGGAAAGTCATTAACCTTCCCTGCATCAACACTGCATTCAGTACACAGAATCTTTTGTCACTTCTCCCACATTCCTGTAGAACACAGGCCTCCTTTCTCCCTGTGGACACCAGCCACTGGAACCAACCTCATGAGCAGCTTGGTGGCGGGTGGCACTGTCCTTTGTGTAAGGAAACAGTGTTGCTGCCTGAGGCCTTTCCTCCTGACTGGCAGGCCAGAATGCCCTCTTCTTGCCCCAAGGCAGTGTGGCTAGGCCTGTGACTGGTAGCCTCACACAGCAGAGCCAGGAGCTTGCTGAGTGGAGAACTGGGCTGAAGAGAGAAGGAACTCCCAAGTGACTGGGCCAAAGAGAGGTGCCTGTGGATCCTCCAGGTTTCTTGCCCACTGCCTGGGTGGAAAAGGCTTCTTGGCCTGGGAGGCAAAGCACTGTCCCTGTTGTGGTAAAACTGGGCCCTGGGGCAGCCAAATCGGCAACCCTCGCCATTTGGTGAGGTCAAATGTGCTGCTCATAGTCTTATCCACTGTGAGCTTTACCGCCATGCTCAGGGCCCTCAAGCGGGGCTGAGTGCTGCAGTTGATTGTCCATGCTTGGGCCACACCAGTACATTGTGCAGACCCATCTATAAGCCCGGCTCAGGTGGTTTCTTTCCAGAATTTTTCTTTCACCTACATCTCAGGAGGTAACAGACATGACTGCAAAAGAGGAGGCAACAGGACGAGCTGATGCCAAAGGAGTCTGAGTCACACTTACAGTCTGCTGCATCTTCAGATTTGCTGAGATCCATCTCCCACCCCACATCCACTTGATGGCATGCCCGGGACCTCCATGTTCAACTCCATGGCCAGACAGCACTGCACTGCAGTCTCCCTTGCTCCATGGTCAAGGCACAGCTGCACCCAGAAGCGGTAAAGTAATGTGCACTACTGCTTCATTCTCCTCTGACCTCACTCAAAACCACCAGCCTATTGGGCTGAGGTGGCACATGCCAAGATGGCACTTGTATTTGAAATCCCCAAAGCACAGCTAAATGTTGTGTTTCCTTTTCATGATAGGTGGTACAAAATGCAGTCACTTGCATTTCATGAGGGGATATATCTTTATATCCCCTGAAGCCTCTCCCAGGTAGAAGGCCCTAATTTCTATAGGGGCTTATCTCCCACCCTCTAGGTAGGTGCACACATCTCACTAAGGCATTGAAAGTGCTTCTACTTGCTGTTCATCAGATCTAACCAGGGTACTGTCATCAACATGGCAGACCACTGACAGCTTAGGGAATTGCTGAGAAGATCAAGATCTCCATAGATATTACTGCACAGAGCAGAACCTGTCCCTGAATAACACATGAGGGCACACTGCTTACCCAGCTAAATAAAGGCAAACTGCTTCTGGTGGAACTCACACACTGGTTTGGAGGAAAGGCACTAGATTAGTAGTTGCAGACCACAAGTGGCTTGTGCTGATTTTCTGCAGGAGGGACATTCATCTGGCTTGACAGCTACAGTTGAAGTCTCCACCTGGTGTTATCAGCAATAGCTCATATTTGCACAATCCATGGGCCTTCAGCACAGGGCAAGAGGCCAGCTAACTAGGTCTGTGATTGTTTCACAACCTCAATCATTTCAGGCCTTCAGTGGCAGCACTAAGCTCTGAAGTTCTCCCAGGGATGCAGTCCTGTTTCCTGAGAAGGAGACATTCCAAGGACTTTCATATAGCTTTTTAAGAATCACCCCATAGATGAAAGAACCAATGAGAGGATTTGGCCAATGGCCAAGTATGTTTCAGTTACACCCTCGGGAGCTTCAGTTACACCCTCAGGATGTGGGGATAAAAAGAAAAAAAACTACAGGGAGGATCCTTGTACCAGATGGGTCCACCGTGAGAACTCAGGACCTCTGATAAGCTAAGACCTGACTATCACAAATTCCTACACAAACTAGTGAGCCAAGAGTAAGGTTGGGCACCCAGGAGTTGGTGTCATCTAGACACAGCATCTCATTATCCCAGAGAGATCCACATTGTTTCCCTTTCATTATAAGTAGCTGCAGTCACTTCAGAAGAGGTATGGAGGGAACTGTGGTATGGCCTCCTGGCAGTAGTTTGGAGTCTTTTTCAAGAGACCTGGATTTCTTTCCAGATCATATGCTCTGGGTCTGAATCCACTGAGATTTGCAGAAATGGAGAAAAACCATGATATTTTGCTGTGGCCACTCATTGGGATTTTAGCTACCAGCATATATCTTTCTTGCATGGAGTAAAGACTACTCTAGGAGGTTATCCATTTACTGCATGCCTGGCATGCTGTGATTGATTCATCACTGCCAGAGAGCTCCATGGACCAAGGAATTCCAACCATGACACTTTGCTCTCTATAGCTTATTTTCCCACCTGTCTCTGATGGATACATGTTACCATATGGCCCTTGATACTGAGTCCCATCCTGTAGGGGGCAGTGAATCTTAGCATACTATTTTAGATAAAGTAGTTCGGTAAAAGCTTGCATGGTGCCTTGGGAAACCTCCCGGGACAGTGCAAGAGCTAATTCCCCAGATCAACACTGCCCAGGAATGTCTCCTCAAGATAAGGGGGCGCCTAGGCCTAGGTGACCCTCCATGACCCTGCCTGGGCAGTGCCATCTCCTGGCCCTAGGTAAACATTGTAACCCTAAAGGAATGCATAGGTTGTAAAAAAGGAGATAATGGGGGGAAACATCTATCACGCTTTGACATGCGACCTGCAACTGACCTGGGGTCCAACAGGATGAGAGAAACACCATATGCCCACCGGGGTCAGAGAATGTAACATCCCAATCTGTTGTCAATGGAAACCAAAATGTATACGAGGGTAAACAAAGTTAGCCATGGGCCCGCTTCCAGATTGGCAAAGGAAGTGAGGGTGGCTAGCCTCAAGTTAAACTCTGGTTTGTTCTCACTGGCATCTCTTGTAGAATGTTTGGGACAAATGGGAATTTCTGCCATAACAATCCATTTCTTTTTTGTTTTGTTTTGTTTTGTTTTGTTTTCTGGTACCGGGAATCGAACTCACAACCTTGCACTTGCCAGGAAGGTGCTGTGCTGCTGAGCTAAATCCCCAGCCCCAGTCCCATCTATTTCAATGGCAGCAACGCATATAGTCATTGCTGGCTACAAATAATGGAGCTCTTCAGGTGTGCCAGCCAGTAGTGTTTCTCAGCGCTCTAGTGAGCAGCCCTCTGTGAAACACTGTTATGGGAGGGACAAATGTGCAGGCCACACAGGACCAAGCCATGCAAATTGCATCTGATGGGGTGAGACTCAAAATGGAGATGACAGAGAGCCCAGGTGATCTGGAGGTGTGGAGGCCAAGGAAGACCAATCAGATGAAGCTGTAAGGGGGATGTTCACAGGAAGGCTTAGTAATTTCTCCACAGGTGAACCATTGTTAAATGGTGGAGCTGAGATTCAGACTCAGCAGTCGGATGAACTCATGGGTACTTCAGGCTGTGCCCCTGAGCACCACAACACATGAGAGCCCCTCTCATGCAGCAGCAATCCTCCCCAGCCTGGGAGTCTGTGCATACTCCCAAGCCTCCCAAGATCCTGACACAGGTGGGTGCAGCACCACCCAGGCTACCCAGGAAGCAGCGGAAGCTGTGCTCCGAGGGCAGCCTGCTTGGTTCCCACAGCAAAGCATCTTAGCCCTCAGGGAGCAGGCTGAAGTATGCATGTGTACACCAAAGGGGACCCAGGGCTCAGGTCCCACACCCAACACCCTTGTCCTGTTGCTCCTTCCTCAGACCCATGCAAGTTCTGTGTATCACGGAGCAAGTATGTGTCCAACTCTTCACTAAACCCAGTGAAGCAGGGGGGTAATTAGGTGCCGCAGTGTGCTCATGTAGACGTGGGGGACACAGTGAGGTCCAGGCTGAGGCAATCTCATGGCCCTGTGCTGTTCCCACGGCACAGGCATAGAGACTCAGTCCAGGCACCGCTGAAGACAGGCAGGAGACATCTTGGCTTGGCTCTCCTGTGGCTGGCTAGCCAAGGGCCCTGGAGAGGAGTACACACAAGGCATTTGGATGTGACACTTTCAAAGCATGTTCAGGTTGGACAGCCTGTGAACTTCACCCAGGATGACAGGAGAAGCCAGGAGGTGCAGCTGGCATATGTCTTCAATCAGGTTAAACAAAGGGATTTCCATAAAAGCACCAAGAAACAAATTTAATGCCCATTTTTGTCCATGCAGACACTGGGCTGAGCATCTTTGGGAGAAGCCACGTGTGGCCCAAGACCAACCACTTGCAATCCTAACATCCATTAGGTGCCACACCAATCCGGAAGCTGGCAGCTGGGTGAAGAGCTCAATGGGATCTATGCTGAAACCAGGCACAGGCCACCCAATCTCCCACATTCAGTCTGCACTTGCAAGCTTCTGGTTCTTGGCTGTACATTTGCTGTTAGAATCAATTAACCCAGTCTCTCCCCACCCCCAACCTTGGCTTTAGAGGAACATCAGTATTTATGTAATAAGTTTAAAAAAAAAAGGCATAAAAGCTGACTCCCCACTTCCTGCCCCTTTCTCTTTCTTGCCATGTGCAATCTGGCTGCCCAGCAAGTCCCCAGGGACACTGGTCAATGCAGCCCTGTGTGTAGATCTGGCTGCATTGCCACCTCCCCACCTCCTTGCCCTCCATCCCCATTGGCTGCCTCAGGCCGCAGTAGGACTGTGCCAGGGCCCCCACTCAACCTCCCTGGGAGGAAGGAATAAAAGGCTGCCTTTGCCCATGCCCCTGCCACTCAGGACGCTGCAGCCAGAGACGCCGCCACTGAAGAGGCAATCAGGAGGAGGTGAGGGAGAACCCCTGGCTGAGGACACTAAGGAAAAAATGCTTTGGAGGTGGGGTGGAGGGTACTCAGGGACTTTGGCTGGGAATTGGGTGGCAGCTTAAAAAGCCCCTTCAGAACAACTGGTGACATTGCAAGACTACTATTGGTATTATGTATTTTTGGCCTAACTTTACTGTTGATGTTACTGCTGCTTTGTTGACACTTGACTACATCAGAATCAGACAGCTACAGATGCATTTACTGTTTTTATTTCCATAAATCAGAGAACCCCAGGTCTAGTGGCTCAGATATGACTGCTGACATTTTCCCACAAACACTGCTGCTTCTCTACAAAGGGTAAAGATTTGCTTCTCTCCAGGGCTGAGGGCTACTGTGGAGCCTAATGCCAGGTTAACCCCAACATTTACCTTCCTCCTTTCCCATGGCTCTGGGTAACTGTGTCCCAGTTTTCCAGTTTCCTTTTTGAATGCCAGGGTCCTCACACCCCCAGAAATTACATGACAGTTGAAAAGGTCTTTACAAATAATTACAAGTTATGAACTGAGTGGAAGAAATTGGGATTTATGCTAGGTTTTACTTTTCCTAAGTCATAAACTTCTCAGGCAGAAAAGCCCCATCTATAGAAGGCCCCTTACATGATAGGGAAGGTATCACTCCAAGATATTTAAGTCAAAACATTCTTGTTTTGAATATAAAAAGATTTAAAGGAACAGTCATAGAATGAAATGAGAAGAAAACATGAGTATTAACTTCCATTTACCTTAAAAGATAACCTATAAACCACCAACTGTTTTTTTAATCAAAGGAAAGAATTTTACAGGAAAACATTTTTAATTAATCTGTAGTGTGGTTATAAAGAAACTACATTTTATGGACTGTTCTAGCATATAGAATGTATGTTTCATACCTTTTTAAAAAAATTTTTGTGCCCTTTCTGCTTTAACATACTTTTAGTCATAATTCATAGAAAAATAATTTACCTTCCCATCTCCCAACATCACAGACTTTAAGAAGCATGAGAATAATGCAAACATTTTTTGAGATTTTTGATTTGTTTCTTTAAAAAACCAATAGTTGAAAACTTAAGTGCAAATAATAAGAGTATGACATGTTAAAGGGTTTAGTCCATCTGAACTGTTCTATGTGTTCACAACATATTAGATTTTTTTAGGGACTTAGGAGCAAAACACAAATACACTGATCATTAATAGGAAGACTAACAAAGTTCAAGCCACAATAAAAATCCTCAATTCTGTTTCCTTTGGGAGAACAGAAATAAAATGATAAGCATTTTATTACAAATTAAGATGTGATAAATTCACATGGGAATAATTTTTCAACAATATTTACTTTTTAAATTAAAAAATATGACTTGGGGCTGGGGATTTAGCTCAGCGGCAAAGCGCCTGCCTGGCAAGCGCAAGGTGGTGAGTTCGGTTCCCGGTACCGGAGAAAAACCAAAAAAAAAAAAAAAAAGACAACACAAAAGTTCTTATTTAATAATTAGAACTCAAGGCCTAAAGGTGGCAAGCTTCTCTGCCTGAGCAGCTTGCTTTTGTGAGACAAGCCACCAGCACCCTTGGTCAGGTGTGCCACCATCCCAGGATGGAGCAGATACCCTGCAGCACAGCATCAGGTGTACACTGTGAGGGACACAGGAAGTTTTTCTGTACTGTCCCCACCTTGGAAGATCACCACCACTCCTGTCTTAAGCAGGTATCATCAGGACTGTTCTGCTGTATGCTTCCCCTGTGTTGGGACACTAGCTTCATTGTGTAGCCTCTAAAATAGTTTTTTATTTCTCGTAGATCAAACACCTCTCATTTGTTTTTTTTTTAATTGTGGCAATTCTTATTTTTCCAGATGAATTTTACAGCTGCTTTTGTCATATTCCTCAACCATCAAAAATTATACTTATTTAAAATGACTCAAATTGATACATTAACTCAAAGAAAGATAAGTCCCTGCATCTTATGTTAATTAAATCTTTTGGAAAATCTGCATTTTTCTTTCTAAACTTTGATAATGTTATTGTACTATAAACAGGACACTTCCTTTTTTTTTTTTTTCCTTCTGGTACCAGGAATCGAATTCACAACCTTATGCTGGCCAGGCAGGGGCTTTGCCACTGAGCTAAATCACCAGCCCCAACAGTACACTTTCTACTGTATTTTTTTAATTAATTTTTTTGAGATGCTCTCACTAGATAGTTCAGGCTGGCTTTCAATGTATTACGTACCCCAGGCTAGCCTCAAATTTGCAGCAACCCTCCTGCCTTAGTCTCCCAAGTGCTAGAACTACTGGTGTACACCACCACACCTGGCCTTTCTAGCTTTTTATTAATAGAGTAGAAGGGTGCTATTGATTTTTCCATGCTGATTTGTTTCTACTCACCTTCCTGTTCCAAGTCCAGTCACCTGCCCTCAACCACTTGTCTTGGAGCCCTGCCAGGGCAGAGGGCAGCCTATGGGGGGGCGGGGAGTAGGAATCTGCCCCTAAATTCCCCAGCTGCTCTGTCTTGGTATTGTTGCCAAAGCTTCCCATAGAATCAACCAGCAGAGGGAGCTTATCTCCCAGGCCACAGGGGTACAGAGGGGAAGAGAGGGCCTAAGATGCACAGTGAAGACTTGTGATAAAAGTGCAGACTCCCAGAATGCCCTGTCCAGCCAGGCTTCAAGAAACTAGCCCAGGCCAATCCACCCCTCACTGAGCTGAGGTCTGTGCATGTAACACATGAGCACATCATATACACACATGGCAGAGAGCATGATGAGACATTTCTTCCTCTGTGGACCCCTAGGATGTCTGAGCTGGAGAAGGCTATGGTTGCCCTTATTGACATTTTCCATCAATATTCTGGAAGGGAAGGTGACAAGCACAAGCTGAAGAAATCTGAACTGAAGGAGCTCATCAACAATGAGCTCTCCCACTTCCTAGAGGTGAGTCTTGCTTTCTAAAATAGAATTTGCTAGTTTTCCTCCCCACTCACAAAAGCACCTTATACTTCTGAGCTTCTCTGCAGTTGACCGGTTCTGTTTTGGGATTCCTGGTTTGCTTCTGGAAACTTATTTGAGCAACAATTCCCTCAGTGTGGGGGCTGCTTCAAGGGTCCCTGTGTTTCCATGATCCTATCATCTGTCCCTGAAATATCAAAGGATTTACAAGTGACAGTGACAGCAGAATAGAATAGAAAAACACTGTCTTACCATGGGCCAAAGTGAAAACATAAGAAAGCTCTTAAGAATAAGAGGTGTTTAGTATTTACCATGGAGATGAAGATGCAGATATTCATTCCATACACGTTGACTGAGCCTCAGGAACTCAGCACTGAGAGATGCAGGCCCAGCAGATGGCCTGTGCTCTCAGAGTCCATCCTGACCCATCAGGGATGAATGACCACTTGACAGAGCACACTGTGGAAGTCTTCCTTTGGAAGTCCTGGGTCCTTGCAGGGGACTCCGTGGAGCACAAGATGTTGACAAAAGGTTGCCCCTATTCAGAGAACTGCACGAGGGCTCCTGGTGAGCCCCATCCTTCTCCACAGGTTCCTTTCGGCCCATGCTGGAGGCACTTCTTTTTTTTTTTTTTTTTTTTTTGGTTTTTCTCCGGTACCGGGAACCAAACTCACGACCTCGCGCTTGCCAGGCAGGCGCTTTTGCCGCTGAGCTAAATCCCCAGCCCCTGGAGGCACTTCTTGATACCTGCATCAAGGACCCACTTCCCCACTGGCCCTGGGCCAGCCACCCACTGTCCATCAGCATCATGCCCTATGGAAATAACCTGTAATCTACCTGCAACCTGATAACCCCTAAGTGGCTGGAACACAGGCTGGCTGTAAGCACACCCTGAGGTGGATATGCAATGGGCTTCCTTCTAGGTCACTAGAGTGATCAATCACCCACAGAAGAAATGGCCAGACAATGAGTCAGTACACTGGTGACTATGTTCCAACTCTGAGGATGACATTAAGGCTGGTGATGGGACACCACCCTCCTGAACTGTCTCCTGCCGGACGACAGGGCCTGGGCTTCAGCAACAAGGCAAGACATGCTGTCTGGAGGACTGGGTGTGATTCTCCTGTCCCATCCACCCAAAGGCATTCCACCTCGGAGGCAACAGGCATGCAGGCTTGCTGGGGGCATCCGATTCTGATTCTGGATTGTTTTTCTCAGGTATTCAAGTCCACAGGGTGACAGCTGTCATCCTATGACCAGTCATCCAGTCCCTCCAATTCTGCCTTTGACTTCATAAAAAAGTTCTAGTTTCTTAACCTATACAAAAGACTGACAAGGATGAAGTGAGTGTGTAGTACTTAATATAGAGTAAAACCTCAACAGATAGTAGCTACAAAAGAGTGTTTACTGTTATTAATGACTGCTTTTAAAACAAGAAAAAGCTTAGCATGTAACAACCATGATTTATAGTAATTCCCAGAGAGCATATTAAAGTATCCAAAACATTTGTTGGCCTGGTTTTATCAAGGTAACTTAGTTTATAAGCAAAGCTATTGTGACAGTTTTCCATCCCTATAACAAATACCTGAAAAAAATCAAACCAAAGGATGAAAGGTTTACTTTGACTCACAGCTTCAGAGGTTTTGCTCCATGCATGGACAGCTTTCTTGCTTGGGGCCTGTGGTGAAATAGAACATCCTGGAGGGCACATGGTGGCAAAAAGCAGTTTAGGTCCTGGTGGCCAGGAAGCGGAGAGGATGGCCACGTTACCCAGGACTAGCTTCTTCCCACTGGGCCACCTCTTAAGGCTCCACCGCCTCTCCACAGAGCCACTGGCTGGGGACCACGCCTTCAGCACGTGGGCTTCCCGACCGACCCAAACTGTAGTGCCTACAGTTGGAACCGGAAGGCATGCACTGCGCCCATCCATCTTTTGGGAGATGGTTCCAGATCCCGCCCTAGCTCCATGGGAATCTCTGTCTTTTACACTGAACCTTTTATATTCTGAGCAGCCATGGTACTTGACTTTTTCAAGTTTTATAGTCCTGGGGTTTTGTTATTCTACACAATCTGCATTTATATACTTCTTCAGGGTTCAGTGACCACATTCTTTTCCCCATCTTTGTAGACCTACTCTTTGTTTAATACTTAACCTCATCGTGCATTTGGCTTTGCTTTCAAGAAAGGAGAACCTTCAGGGGGGCTGGGGATTTAGCTCAGTGGCAAAAGCGCCTGCCTGGCAAGCGCAAGGTCGTGAGTTCGGTTCCCGGTACCGGAGAAAAACCAAAAAAAAAAAAAAAAAAAAAAAAAAAGAAAGGAGAACCTTCAGGAAAACACTTCCTCACACCTAGAAAACAACACAAATAGTAAAAAGAACACAAGGAGTTAACCTTAGGACATGTTCCCAAGATACTTCAGCAAAACATTATAATCTGCCAGAAGGCTTTACAACAGGGACTCTGTTACACACACACACACACACACACACACACCAGTGCTAAAAGTTCATTTCTTCTTTCCAGTCATTAGTTCAGGCTGACAGAGACTTATTTTTTTCCAGAGCTTTCACGTATAACACCCTGCAATTTTTCACATCTTGGTTGTTCCATCTGTTTTTTAAGTAATCAAAGTCCCACTGAACCCAAAGAAGGAGGTGGAGAGACACAGACCTTGCAGAGATTTCTACGTCGCCAACAAACTCCTAAGTTACAGGAGAAATCTGCCATTTCTACTTCCTCATCTGAGAAGTTATTTCTGGGGTTATTTCTGATGCAAACTGCCAGTCATCCAACTTTCACTCTTTCCATATCCCTGTATTCCCATTAAGAAACATGGTGGGCAACTTCACTTATCTATCTTTCTTAGGAAATCAAAGAGCAGGAGGTTGTGGACAAAGTCATGGAAACACTGGATGAAGATGGAGATGGAGAGTGTGACTTCCAGGAATTTATGGCTTTTGTTGCCATGGTGACCACTGCCTGCCACGAGTTCTTCGAACATGAGTGAGACAGAGAAAGCAGCCCAGCTGTTCCTGTAACAGAGACAACAGCCATGCAGGGAATCAGAGAACAAGAGCTGGCAGACCAGTAGGAGCTAAGCTCTCCAGCTATGTGTAGCTAATTAGGAAGCTTGACTTGCTTTGTGAATGAAAATTGAAAGCTTCTTTCCAAGGGCTGCTTAAATCGCTGTGTCATTATTTCTGCTGTTAGGCATTTGTGTGAGCTGACTGGTTTCAGGACTTCTGGCAATAGTCACTTAGGAAAGTAAATTTTTATCATAAAGCATGTGTTATACAAACCGGCATGACCTTGTAGAATCCTAGCCCAGAAAAAAAAAAGGACTACCTAAAGTAGTCCTACAGAATGGCTTCCAATACATCTGGAAATACAAAGCCTTGTCCACCATCAGTGGAAAAGAGCTCCCTTCCTTACATTTGTTCAGCATTCATCTAAATAAAGCCTAAAGATGGCCTGACCACATTGTCACTCCCATCCAAAAGAGCATGGTCACATTTAAGTCCTTTTTCCTATAGTGAGCTATGATTACTGAGTAAATACTTAATGCTAAACATTCTAAAATTAAATGCTAACCATTTACAGAAAAATGTCTCACAAACCGGTAAGTTTAAATCAATAAATACTGACACTTAACAGAACTGAGAATGAAAATTCTGCATTCAGTAAAATTCTAGATGACACTCCACTGGCCCTGCAGAACATGTGTGTAGGAGAAGGATGGCTAGACTCAGGACCAGGGTTTAGAGTCTACCCTCCAGCTCACTGTGCAGCTAGTAATGTCAACTCCCTGGCAATTTCTGTTGTCTATCAAATGAATGACTCCAAAGTCAAAGTTCATGGGGCTTGTTTTTCCACCACAGGGCCTCTTGGATGAGTCTCTGTGTTAACTGAGGCCATTCTTGACCTGCTGTGCTAAAAGAACATCCGGTAGCCACTTGGTCAAGTTGAGATGTGCAAGGTTGAACTTGATGCTTTTGTATCTGCATATTCAAATAAGTTCAAATAATTAAAGTTACTAATAAATAAAAATCAAGTTGCAACTATTAAAAGTCACTCCAGAAAAAAATCAAACCTAATCTTATTGACACCTTTTCCTATTTTATTTTTTTAACCAACTGATTTTTTGCTCACACTTGTATTATATAAAATATTACTGCAGCAATACCCTGTAGTCTTTAAATATGAAATAAAAACAAAATACTTGCTTGGTCAGGACCAGCAACAAAGGTCCCAGAAGTGGGACTGCCAGGCTTCACCTTGTTCTCAGATGTTACCCAAGGCCGGGCAACAGGCTGCTTGGGGGACAGGGGACTCCAGGGAAGCTGGCAGGAGTACAGCCAGGTCCCCTTCCCGACGGCCTGGCCTCTCCCCTAAAACTAGTTGCCCAGGGGCTCTAAGGAATTTCTGGTGTTTAGGTCTCATGCCCAGCCCTGGGCCACCTACCAGGGAGAGGAGCTGTGACTGGTCTAACACAGACGTGTTTTCGTTATTGATTTCTAACTTTGTACTACTTGACCCTAGAAGAGATGCTGTGTAATATATTTTTTAATCCATTGAGTCTAGTTTGGGGCCTAACTTATAGTGTTTTGGAAAATACTGCAGGTGCCCTGAAGAGTATGTATGTGACGTTGGAGTACTCTGTGTCTGTTAGATATAGCTGATTTACTGGGTTGTGTAAACCCTCTGTTTCCTTACTTACATTGTCTACTTCTTCTACCCATTATGAGATTAGGGTATTGACGTTTCCAATTATTATAGAATGATCTGTTTTCCCCTTTAATTCTGTCAGTTTTCATTTCATGTACTTTGATCATAATTGTTATATATCCTTGTTGTATTGAACTTTTTATTAATATATTGTCCTTCTTTGTGTCTTGTAACCTTTTTAAATTTAAGCTCAATTTTGTCTGATTTGAGTATAGTTGTCCCTGCTCACTTTTGATTAATATTTTCATGTACTATCCATTCTGTTTTGTTTTGTTTTGTTTTGTCTTTTCTGAGACAGGGTCTCGCTATGCAGTTCAGGCTGGCCTTGAGCTCACTTTGTAGCCCAGGCTGGTCTCGAACTCGCAGTGATCCTCCTGCCTCAGCCTCCCGAGTGCTGGGATTACAGGTGTGCCAGTACGCCTAGCTTTCTATTCCTTTTCAGACTATTTGTGTTTTGGACCTAAAATGAATCCCTTATAGATAGCATATAGGTGAACAGATTTTTTTAAGTCCATTTTGACAAATTCTGTCTTCTGTTTGGACAGGTTAATACATTTACATATAATTATTGACAAGGAGCAACTTACTCTTGTCCACTTGCTATTTGTATTCCATATGCCTTACAACTTTTTGGTCTCATACTCACTGCATTATAGTCTTTTGTGTTTAGTCGATCTTTGGTCGATTTTTGGTACATTTTAAATTTATTTCCTTTTGTGTATAGTCTACAGCTATTTTCTGTGTAGTTACAGTGGGATTACATTAAATCTCTCAAAGCTCTAATATTATAGCTTGAATTTTACCAGCTTAAGTGTCATTTTTAAAATTTGGCTCTGTAAATAGCCAAGGTCCTACCCCTTTCCAATGCTGATGTCACAGAATTGTATCTTTATAGATTTTTTTAAAATTAAGTTTATTGGTACATTTTAGGTATAATGATCACATTCATCATAGAAAATTTGTACCTGTACATGGTATATATTGATTCTTTTTCCCCATTCCTCTACCCTCCCTTGAAACCCTCTTCCCCTCATTTACAAAAGTTGTTTCCATTTTTTCCTTCTTTTCTCATTTTATTTTCCCTTCTTTCCTTTCCTTCTCTCCCTCCCTTGTTCTCCTTCCCATTTGAACATTTTCTTCCTGTTTTACAATATCTATTATACATTTTGGTCCTTATTTACATTTTCAGTTTCTCATACCAAAACAACATGGTATTTACACGTGTCCTAGTTATTCAAGGCCTGCTCAAGGCCCATCCATTTGCCTAGAAATGTCTCAGGTTTATCCTTCCTTATGGCAGAGTAGTACTCCATTGTATAAAACAACCACATGTTCTTTATCCATTCACTAGTTGGTGAACATTTAGGCTGTTTCCAAGATTTAGCTATTACAAACTGTGCCACTATAAACATGGGTGTGCATAAATCCTGTGGTATAATGCTTTTAATTCTTTCAAGAAGATGCCTAGAAGGAAAATAGCTGGATTGAATGGGACCTCTAATCCTAGTTTTTTGAGGAATCTCCACAATGATTTCCACAGTGGTTGCACCAGTCTACACTCCCACTGACAGCGAAGGGTTCCTTTTTTCCCCACAGCCCCATTAGCATTTGTTATTGGTTGATAACTTGATAACAGCCATTCTTTCTGGAGTGAGATGAAATCTCAGTATTGTTTAATTTGCATCTCTCAAATAACCAATGAGGTTGAACAATTTTTCATATAATTTGCCATTTATATGTCTTCATCTGAGAAGTCTCAATTAATTTCATATAGCCATTTTTGCATTGGGTCTTTAAATTTGGGGGTGTCTGGTTTTTTTTTTTTTTTTAGCTCTTTATATATTCTAGATAGTAATCCTTTGTCTGAGGAACAGCAGGCAAAAATGTCTTCTCACACTGTAGGTTATCTTTTCACTCTGTTGGTGGTTTCTTTTATTGTGCAAAAACTTTTTATTTTTCTATTTTTTTGTCTTTTTGAGACAGGGTCTCGCTACGCAGTTCAGGCTGGCCTTGAGCTCACTTTGTAGCCCAGGCTGGTCTTGGACTTGCAATGATCCTCCTGCCTCAGCTTCCCAAGTGCCGGGATTACAGACATGCACCACCATGCCCGGCTGCAAACCCTTTTAATAAGATGAGATGCTGGTTGTTCTTTGTGATAGTTCCTGTGTGATTGGGGTTTCATTCATAAAGCCTTTGCCTACACCAATGTCTTCAAGAGTTCTACCTAGTCTATCTTCCAGATTTAGTGTTTCTGCCTTAATACTTAGATCTCAGATCCATTTTTATTTTAGTGTAGTGCACAGTGAAAGATATGGGTCTAATTTTAATCTTTAGCATGTGGAAAGCCAGTTTCTCCAGCATCATTTATTAAAGAGGCTATCTTTCTTCCAGTGAATGTGTTTGGCACCTTTGTCAAAGATAAGGTGGCTGAATATGTCTGGAGTTGTTTCTGCATATTCTAATCTGTTCCACTGATCTTCAGGTCTGTTTTTTTGCCAGTACCATGTTGTTTTTATCACCATAGCTTTATAGTATAATTTCAAGTCAGGGATTTTGATGTCCCCTGCCTTGCCTTTGTTGCCCAGAATTGCCTTTTCTAGATCTCTTTTGATTCCAAATGAATTTTAGGATTATTTTCTCTAATTCTGTGAGATATGCTGTTGGAATTTTGATCAGGGTTGCATTAAATCTGTATAACAATTTTGGAAGTATGGAAATTTTCACTATGTTGGTTCTTCCTACCAAAGAAAAAGGTGTATCTTTTCATTTTCTTCAATCTCCTTTTTCAGAGTACTGTACTCTTCAATGTAGAGATCTTTACTTTTGTTAGATTGATTACTAGGTACTTCACTTTGTTTTTTTTCTGGTACTGGGAATGAAACTCACAACCTTGCGCTTGCCAGGCAGGCGCTGTGCCGCTGAACTAAATCCCGAGCCTCTACTTAACTTTTTTTTGGATGCTATTGTGAAAGGTGTTACAGAGATCCTTCCTGGTCCTTACCGTGGCCCAGGAAGTTTATTTTGGTAATCCTATGGAAAAGTTATTGGAATCCTAGTGAGTTAATTCCAATCTTCCACTTCCAGTGCAACCCATGGAGAGAATGATTTGTAGTTATGGGGAGCTAAGGGGTCCTAAATCCAGCCACAATTATGGCTATCCTGAAGAAAGGCTTTGACCCAAGCCTGAGCCCGGGTTTTATTCATTTATGAAGAAAGGAGTGGCTTAAGGATGAGCAATTGTGAGAATGGTGCGAAGTAGGTGAGTGCTGTGAGCTGGGTTAGGTAGAAGGCCTGAAATCACCTCTGCAGTATGCAGAGAGTATATGCAGAAAAAGTAATCTGCATAACACAATTGAGATAGCATCTAATGTTTTGGGGTCAGTGCTTCAGCTCTGATGTGTGAGCTTTCAAGCCCCCGAGAAGTCATAGCCTCTATCTGAGGCCTGATCCCAGTGGACAGCGTGGAGCATTGAATGCTCTTCATCCTGCCTCATCCCAGCTCACACAAGGAAACAATCTGGGGGGGCGGTGGGCTCCAGGGAAACACACCTGCTGTCTTCAAAGACTACATCAGCACCTCCAGCTAGGCTGATATGCATTGCTTAAAGCCAATTAAAGGGATAAGGAAAAGTCCTCCTCAGCTCTGTACATATCAATACATGGAAACAGGTCAGGCTTAGCCGAAATGGAGACAACTGCGCCTCTTTCAAGGAGAGTTACCCAAGTGGTCTGCCACAAGGTGTTGTTTTCCTAATTCCTCTTTCTGTAAGTTTATTTGTGTACAGGAATGCTATTGTTTTTTGAATATCAACTTTATACCCAGATATGCTACTGAATTAAATATACAAGTCTTTTTGTGGTGTTTTTAGGGTCTTTTATGTAGAGTATCATGCCACAAATAATGATAATTTAACTTCCTTCTTTCCTATTTTTATTCCTTTTCTTTCTCTTATCTAATTGCTCTGGCTAATGTTTCCAGAACTATATTGAATAAGAGTAGTGACAATGGACATCCTTGTCTTGTTCCTGACTTTAGAGTGAGTTTTTAGTTTTCATGTATTTAGTATGCTGTTGGCTGTTGGTTTGTCATAGATAGCTTTGATCAGATTGAGGTAAAGACCATCTATTCCAATTTTCTGTAGGGTTTTTAACCATGAATGAATGTTGGACTTTATCAAAAGCTTTTTCTACATCTATTGAGATGATCATGTGATTTTTATCTTTGGCTATGTTGATATGGTGTATTACATTTATTGATTTGTGTATGTTAAACCATCCCTGCATTCCTGGAATGAATCCCACTTGGTCACGGTGTATAATCTTTTATTTTTTTTTTTTTATTTTAAAGAGAATAATAAATGACAAGCAAACAAATAGAACAGTAGCAGCATACCAATATCATGAACATAAACAAATCAAAGCAAGAACATTAAAAGTGATACAGGGTCTAAAGACAAAATAATACGAATCAACAGTGATTGTCACATTACGTATTGCTATCCTCAACTACATTGCTCAGGTTACCAGATGTAAGAATGAAAGATTGCTCAAACCATTACAAAGAATAAGAAAATAATTCTTCAATAAAACATTAGAGATAATAGTTTCACTAGACAAGATGGTAGGAGTTCACCATTGTAATTCCAGTGCATATTGTCACCTTCAAATCAGTTGCTCAGACCACCAGACACAAGCATGCAAAATCAATCAGAGCATAAAAAATTGTAAGCATTAACTGTTCATTTCAATAATGGTGTATAATCTTCTTGATGATTTGCTGCATTCTGTTTGCTAGTATCTTACTGGGGATTTTTGCATCTATGTTAATTAGGGAGATTGGCCTGTAGTTCTGTTTTTTTGGTTGGGTCTTTCTCTGGTTTTGGTTTCAGGGTAATACTTGCCTTCAGGAATGAGTTAGGGAGTATTGCTTCACTTTCAATTTCATTACAGCTTGAGAGGTAGTGACATTAGGCCTTCTCTAAATTTCTTGTGGAATTCAGGAGTGAATCTGTCAGGGAGTGGGCTTTTCTTTTTTGGTTCACTGATACTGGTTTAGAATTTTTATATCTTCTTGATTCAGCTTTGGTAATTCACATGCATCTAGAAATCTGTCCATTTCTTCTGCATTTTCCATCTTATTAGAATACAGGTTCTCAAAGTAGGTCTTGATGAT